CCATTTAGAACACGTTCAAATTCTGTGCTTAACGTCTTCAAACCATGGCATTGTCATTCGATGACAGACTTTTGGGTGAAAAAGTGGATAATTACTGCAGCTCAAGCGATGAACATGACGATTCCGACAATGAAAAATCCGATAATACCGAATGTGTACCACACGATCGTCCTAACGCCAATTATGTTCCGTCAAGATCCGCCCAGGTACTATTTCCCATGCCTTTTTCCTTTACTGTTGAAGACCGGTCCAAAGGGCGTCATTGAAGACTACCATAGGTTTCAGGAGCTGCAAGCCGAAAGCAGGCGTCAGAAAGAACTGATGGTCCTCCAGCTTGCTGAAAAATGCACCTTGACTTGCAGACCGTTCGTAAGCCAAGTCTTCAACTGCACATTTTTTTAGAGTGAGGACCTCAAGTCACAAGAGGTTGAAGCAGAATTGAAGGCCTTACTTGAGCTTTCCGAAGATGACGAGAAATTTCTGGACGCCTACCGTCAGAAGAGAATGGCGGAATTGCAAGCAAACCTACAAAGCTTGTACGCCCCAGCTTATGACTGACCCGATTTCAGGCCTACCTTCAACCGTATTTTTGATCTCAACGCCAGTACTTTCGTCACCGAAATCGACAGTGAGGCAGCTTCAGTTACAATCATTATTCTCATCTATGAAGAGGTATAGTTTTTCATGGTGTTATAGTTTCAGGGTGTCGCCGCGTGCCATTCGGCCAACGAATGTTTGAAAGTCCTTTGCCGGGCCTATCCGCACATCAAGTTTTGCCGAATTCGGGCATCGTCGGCGTTCATGAGTCGAAACTTTGTGAGCAACTCTTGTTTATGAATTCATTAATTGCATGAACTGGCGGCTTCTCATCCGGTTTAAAACATTTATTTTCAGTTTGGAAGGGATGCCTCCTTAACCATAGATATAAAGTCAGTGCAGAACAGTGTGCCTGTCAAGGAATAAATCATATCTCCCCCTAAAGGGGTATCACCTCAAATGACAAGTTCCTATAATTTTAATCTTTGCAATGCTAATTGCAGTAAACGAAATTCATGAATTCTGCACGAAATCACCAACAATGTCTACTGAATCGGGAATCGGCCCAAATGAATTTAACAGAACACCAAATTCATAGTGAACGGTGTTTGGTCAAATGGAGACGAAGAAAGATCTACTGACAGTACTACTACGTTGGTGAGAAGCAACTACATTTCCTTAAAAAAAGCGGAACTATTAAAAACGCAAAAAATAGTGTTAACTGAACAAAATTAGTAATGTAATTAATGCATGTAATGTAATTAGTGCAAAATGCATATCCATGGAAACGAATGGGTACATGAAACAACAAAAGCGAATTTTCGGAAAACGCTTTTTAATAGTCCTTGTGAGTATTACACGACCTTTGTCCTTTTAAAATGACCCTTTATTTACCT